TATGGAAATCTAATGAGGGGAACATGCAAATAAGGTATATGGAAATCGAATGAGGGGAACATGCAAATAAGGTATATGGAAATCTAATGAGGGGATTGGTCCATAGGTCATCCCCTGTGTTTGAAATGAACCATCTCAGAAGCAAGAATGAGGGTCTCACTAACATCAAGAAAGAAAAGCTAGAAATGTACCACATCCTTTGGATCCAAAGATCCCTGCATAATGAATTTCCTCTGTCCAGGAGACAGGGAGCTGTGGCACCAGAGACCAGAAGAAGCAGTAGAGAGGTGGCTGCAGCACAAAAGCAGCATCAAGAGTATGAGATAGGCCATTGCACTTCATAGCCCACTCAGCAAGAATGCCGAGTGCCTCTGGGAAGGAGGCCCATTTGTGGAGTTGAGTGCCTCCAGGCACTTAATCAGAGGAGCTAGTTTTGCTAACCCACGGAGCTAGAGCTGAGAGTATTTGGGGTGAGGTTGAAGGCCAAGTGGAATGCCCTTTGGGCATTTTGGTCAGGTCGCCCAGGCTGGGCAGAGTCCCAAGGACTGTGTTGCTGAGAGGTCAAGGATCAGAAAGAAGTGTGCCTGCAGTTTTGCTGAAAGGTTCTACTGACCAGAATAACTGTATCCTGAGTATTTCTGATCCTGAATTTTAATGTGTCTCCTCTAGTGAACTGCATAATTGTGAGTTTTTGTGAGTTCTTTGTGGCCACTGCAATGAATTCTCCAACCCAGCAGAGAAACGGAGAGTGGATGATTGGTGTCAGAGTTGGTAAAGAAGGCATAAAGAAGGCATTTCTAATAGGAATTGACCTTGAGCTGACAGTCAATTAGATTTTCCTTTCTCTTTGCCAAAGATTGGACACCACCCGCATGCCCTCTTTACAGTATAATGGCTTTTCAAGCGGTACTTAATGGGCCCCTCTGTGTATGTGTGGGAGAAGCAGTGGGGAGACAGCCCGAGATGACTATATGGCTTCCTACTGTTGCTTAAATTCGAATAGTTCTATATCCATTTTAAATGTTAAAATTTCAGGAAGACTTCCTTTGAAGAGAGATTTTTATAGCTATAGCTGAAATGACTATATTTCCATATAAAATATCAGAGAAGATGTAAATAGTAATGATCATTTTTTTCCTCTTACACATTAGTTATTTAGATGTATGTTTTAAAAATCTTAAATGTATGGTGAGTTTTAGAGAATGATTTTGTTATTGACTTCCAACACAATTGTTCTGTTAGTTAAGGGATATGGTCTATCTGATAGTGATTTTGGGGGGACATTTTTGAGACTTATTTTAAGGCCTATGTTGCAAGAATTTAAATAAATATTCCACATGTGCTTGTAGAGTGTGCATGCAGGATTCTACACAATTCTTTAAGTAGCTAAGAGGTTGTCTCCCTGTGAAGCGTTTCAGTTTCTCCTTGAAGTTATGTTTAGTCTAGGTGGCGTGTTAGCTTTTGAGGTACTTGTACGGTTCATAGACTTCGGAATTTGCCAGTGGAAAGCTGTGTCATTATGTAGGGTGATTGACCTGCCTGGTCTGAAGTTATTTCTGCACTAGTCTAGCTGTCTGTTTGTCAGCATTTGCCGTCATTTGCTTTTACGTTGTCTGTGCTCTTCTGCAAGGAGTCCTGGAGGCACAATGAATGATTTCATGCTCAGCGACTAACCAAAACTTCGGTTCTTGAGAACCACCAGCCTCTTCATGGGAGAAGGAGGTGATAGTCTGTTTCCATGAAGATTACAATATCGGGAACTCTATGAAGTCCTTCTATTCTCTTCTATAGGGCCATCTCAAACTACAGTCAACTCAGAGGCAATGGGATTATGCCCCCTTGTTTGAATGTGCTTGTTGTAAACAACATATAGTTGATACTTTGTGTACAATGCGATAATTTCTGTTTTTACTCTGTAACCCTTTATTGGAACTATTGACTGACAGTCTGTCTCCCTGCCATCGAGTTGATGCCAGCTCTCAGACACCCTATGGACAGGGTAGAACTGTCCCTGTGAGTTTCTGAGCCTGCGACTCTTTCTGGGAGTAGAAGCCCCCTCTTTCTCTCAAAGAGCAGTTGGTGGTTTTGAACTTCAAAACTTGCCGTGAGCAGGCCAAAGCAACCACTATTCCACCAGAGGATTTATTTCTATTATTATATTAAAATTTTTAATTTATATTTTTCTGCTTCTTGTTTTTCTTTCATGTTATTACATGTTTTTCTCATACTTTTAATTTATTCAGTCTTTTTATTTATTGAAAAAATTTATACACTTTCTTTCTTGTTGTTGTTGGGTGCCATCAAGTTGGCTCTAACCCATAGGGACCCTGTGCCCAAGAGAATGAAGCACTGCTTGGTCCTATGCCAGTCTGACAATTGTTCCTATGAATGAACCCATTGACGCCACTATGCCAATTCATCTTGTTGAAAGTTTTCTTCTTTTCTGCTGCTCTTCCACTTTACCAAACACAATGTCTTTCTCCAGGGACTGATCTATCCTGACATGTCTAAAGTATGGAAGACACAGTCTTACCATCATTTCCTCTAAGGAGCACTCTGGACTTCTTCTAAAACAGATGAGGTTGTCCTTATAGCAGTTCATGGTACCTTCAATATTCTTCTTCTTTACAATTCAAATGCATCGGTTCTTCTTCAGTCTTCCTTATTCAGTGTCCAACTCTCACATGTATAGGAGGCAATGAAAAATGCCATGGATTGGATCAGGCACACTGTAGTTCTCAAAGTAACATCCTTGCTTGTCAGTACTCTAAAGAGTTCTAGTGCTGCAGATTTACCAAATTCAACATCGTTTGATCTCTTGATCAGAAGCAGCAGCTTCTATGAGCATTGATTGTGGATCCAAGTAAGATAAAATCCTTGAAAATTTCAACCATTTCTCCATTGATCATGATGTTACCTATTGGTCCAATTGTGAGGATTTTGGTCTTCTTTACCTTTAGCTGTAGTCCATACTGAAGGCTGCAATCCTAGATCTTCATCAGTAAGTGCCTGAAGTTCTCCTCACTTTCAGAAGCAAGTTGTGTCATCTGCATATCACAAGTTGTTAATAAACCTTCCTCCAATACTGATGCCACATTCTCCATAAAAGCCAACTTTCTCTGATTATTTGCTCAGCACACAGATTGAGCAAGTATGGTGAGAGGCTACAAGTCTGATGCACCTTTCCTGATTTTAAAACATGCAGTAATCCATTGTTCTGTTTCCAAACTGCCTCTTGATCCATGTACAGGTTCTACATGAGCAAAATCAAGTTTTCTGGAATCCCCATTCTTCTCAAGAATATCCACACTTTATTATGGTCCACACAGTCAAATACATTTACATAGTCAATGAAACACAAGTAAACATCTTTCTGGGATTCTTTGCTTTGAGCCAAGATCCAGCTGACATCAGCAATGACATCACTTGTTCTGTGTCCTCTTCTGCACCTAGCCTGAACTTGTGGCAGTTCCCTGTCAGTGTATTGCTGCAACCATTTTGATTGATCTTAAGCAAAAATTTTACTTGTGTGTGATATCAGTAATATTGTTCTATAGTTTGAGCATTTTTGGGGGTCATTTTCTCTGGAATGGGTGCAAATATGGATCTCTTCCAGTCAGTTAGCCAGGTAGTTGTTTCCTAAATTTCCTGGTATAGATGAACTAGTGCTTCCAGTGCTTCTTCAGCTTGCTGAGACATTTTAGTGGGTATTCCATGGATTCCTGGAGCTTTGTTTTTGGCTAATGCTTTCAGTACAGCTTGAACTTCTCCTTCAGCACCATTGGTTCTTGTTAATACGCTACCTCCTGAAATTGTGGACTGTCAACTAGTTCTTTTGGGTACAGTGACTCTGTCAAGTTCCATCTTCTTTTGATTCTTCCTGCATCGTTCAATAGTTTGCCCGTAGAATCTTTCAGTATTTCAACTTGAGGATTGAACTTTTGTTGAGTTCTTTCAGTTTAGATATGTTGAGCATGTTCTTCCCTTTTGATTTCTTTATTTTTGGTCTTTGCACATTTCATTATAATATTTACCTTTGTGTTCTTGTGCTACTCTTTGAAATTTTCTATTCAGATATTTGATTTCATTCGTTTTTCATTTGTTTTTTGCTATTCTATGATTAAGAGAAAGTTTCAGTCTTTTCTGACATCCACTTAGATCTTCTCTTTCTTTTTAATGACCTTTGCTTTCTTCATGAATGGCGGTCATGATGCTCTCTCACAGCTCATCAGGTTTTCTGTTACTAGTGTTCGATATGTTAAATTTGTTATTGAAAGCTTCTCCATCATGTCTTCCCACATATGTAATCCATTTGATTTCACCTTGTGTTTTGTTGACAAAAGGTATTTGCTATGAACAAATTATTGGTCTTGCAAAATTCTATTATGATTCCCAGCTTCATTTCTGTCACCAACACCATATTTTCCAACTACTCTCCTTCCTCTGTGTTTCCAACTTTTTTCATTAGAATCACCAATAATTATGAATGAATTTTTATTACATGCTTGATCAATTTCAAACAGAAAGTGTTTGTAGAATTATTCATTTTTTAATCACTAGCTTTTGTGGTTGGTGCATAAATCTCAATCATTGTTGTATTGATTGGATTTCCTTGAAGGCAGATAGATTTAGTTCAATCGCAGATGGCATGTTACTTCATGATGGATTAGCAAAATGCTTTCTGACAATGAATGCAACATCATTCCTCTTGATTGTGTTATTCCTGGCATAGTAAATCATACGATTTTCTGATTCAAAATGGCCAATACCAGTCCATTTCAACTCACGACTCTCTAGGATATCACTCTTTATGCATCTCATTTCAATTGTGATGACTTCCAATTCTCCTAGATTCATACTTCACACATTTCAAGTTCTGATCATTAGCAGGTTTTTGCAGCTGTGTCTCTTTGCCTTGAGTCATGCCCCATCAGCAAATGAAGATCCTGAAACTTCCATTCCCACCGGCTTTACTGGATTCAAGTCACCATGGTTAACTCCCCTCCAAAATATCATCTCCTCTTCAGTCATGTTTGGAGTGCCTTTGGACTGGAGGGGCCCATCTTCCAGCAGTATCTCTTCCTTTGTTTGGGCTCTTGGTATCTGCCAGTGTTTCGAAGCAAGGCTATAGGCTTTCAGCGGTTTCTTCATCTGAAGTGGGGAGCTGAGTCCTTCCTTGCTGTCTGTTCTTAGTTTGGAAGCTCCACTGAAACCTGTTCACTTTGGGTGACCCTGCTGGTATTTGAAATACCAGTGACATAGCGTCCAGCATCACAGCACCACACAAGCCACCACAGTATAACAAACTGACAAATGGCGGTTCTTGTTAGTAATAGTATTGAAATTTTACTCTGCAAGTTTAATTTGAAGGCTGAAAATTCAACAATCCTTGCCTTCTTGTGGAATCCAGCCCCACATCCAAATGGGTCCAAGGGATGGTTGTGTAATTGAAGGGAAGAAATTAAGAGACAGGCAAAAGTTTTGGGGTACTCAATTCTGTCTGGGATATGCTCTTTGTTAAGAAACTAGAGTTAAGTCTTTTATCAACTTTGGAAAAGCATGTTCTCTTTTTGATTGTACAGATGTGCTTTTATTTCATATTTTAGGCTCCCCAGTCTTTCATACTTGAAGTTAAATGGTGAATTGCTAATGTTGTCGTTAGGTGCTGTCACGTTGACTCCAACTCCCGGCGGCCATACGTACACCAGAATGAAGCACTGCTTGGTCCTGCTCCATCCTCACAGTTGTTCCTATGTTTGAGCCCACTGTCCCAGACACAGTGTCCACCCACCTCATTGAGGCCTTCCTCTTTTCTGCTGCCTCTCTATTAACCAAGCTTGATGGCTTTCTCCAGGGAATTCTCTCTTTAGGTAACATGCCCAAAACACATGAGACAAAGTCTCGCCATCCTCACCTCTAAGGAGTATTGTGGCTGTACTTCTCCAAGACACATATGTTTGTCCTTCTGCAGCTTATTGTACATTCAATATTCTTTGGCAATGTCATAGTTCAAATGCATTGATTTGTCTCCGGTCTTCCTTTTCAAATACCCGAAGGGTCATCCAAAGCGAACAGGTTTCAGCAAAGCTTCCAGACTAAGAATAGACAACAGAAAAGGAATAGTCTGTCCACTTCAGAGGAATTATTCACCGAACATCCTGTGGGTAGCGTCAGAATGTTGTCAGTTACTAAGAACCTAATGAATAGAAGCAGAATTGCTAATGACAGCCATGTATTCAAAGTAGAGGTATATGGAATGCAGTTACAAACAAGCAAAAGTTCTAGCTTCAGGGTTGTAAGCTTGGAGCGGGGGTAATAAAAGTACGTGATTGCCTTACAGTGTCACAAGTGAAAGCAGAATAAGGTAGGTTCATGTTGTCCATTTGGGAAATTTTGTACTAATTATCACAGTTTTACTCAAATAACGTGTACCTTCTGCTTGTTTGCCAACTGTTTCCTCTCACCAGGAGATCATTTTGTACATATGCTATCCTATTTTCCTTGTGACAGCAGCATGTAGTTTGTTTACCTGGAAATGTCTATTTCATCTTCTTTAGTGAGGAGTATTTTGTTCCGCATAGTAGTCTAGGTTGATATTTTCCCCTTTGAACACTTTAAGGATATCATGAAAGGTATGCACTGGCAAGCATTGCTTCTGAGAAGATGAGAAGTCAGTGTTGCCCTTCTAATCCCTTCTGTGTGTAATATTTCTCTCTCTTTTTTCCCTCTTCCTACGCCCTTCTCCCAGTACCTCTCTCTCTTTTGCAACTCCAGTATTTCTCAGCTACAGAATTTCTATTAAGTTACGGCAGGTAGATTTTCCAGGTGAATAGAGTTGTGTGTAGCTTAGTATTTGGTTAAAGATTCACGGAAGTGTCTATCTTGCCTGCCACCTTAGTAGTCCTGAGCACCAAGTTAGTTCTGTTTTATCTCACTTGAGAATCACTGCTTTCGATTTCAGCTCGGACTTTTCAGAGCGTAAGTACAGTTTGGTCAGTGCCTCTATTCAGCAGCCAGCATGTGTTCCTGTGAGACTTTTGTAGTATCCTGTTGGTAGTCTGGTACCTGAAAGGAGCTGCTTCACATACCATGCCCAGTTTCATAAGGTCTATTTTGGAAGCATAAATTTCACTATATATTTTTGGCAGTGGGAGTATAACACAATTTGTTTTTTAGAGTTTCCGGTTATCAGAATGCTATTGAAAAAGCTTTTCACAAAACTCTGCCTATTTCTTAAACATTTTTTGTTTTGATCTGAGATAGTAGGGGGAAAAAAGAGTCAATTCTGAATTTGCCATAGTAAAAAGTGAAAAAGTCTTCTTCAAATGATAAATGATATTTGAGTTGATTTAATACCTAAATATGGGAAGGAGAAAGTGAATTATAATGGAAAAAATACTAGGATAGCCAAACTGTATTTTTGCAAAAATAGCATATCTCTTCTTATGTGTATTTGGAGTGACCTTCCTCTCCTTAGGCATTAGTTTTGTAAATGCACAATGCTGCTTTACCTCACTATGTAAAAGATAGTTTGGCATGGTTGTACTTCTGAAAATATCTCCTATGGGGTCAGAGCTGTTGACAAACAAGTGCATTGTTAGGGGCAGAGCCCCTCAGAAGTCACTGTTGGGATTGGACCTGTTTTAAAGGCAACAACAAGACTAAGACCAGTGTGTTACTGACAGAGCTTGTCTGCAGCCATCCCCATGGGGCACAGACCTGTTTAAGCAGGGTTGGTTTGGAATCCAGCTGTGCATGGATGAACTAGAACTCTGATAGCAGTGCTTTTTGACTTACCCTCATCCAACCACTTTGCTCCTATCAATATGGTTATGTTACAAACACCAGGCCATCTTGGGAAAATTGGTATTCTATGAATATGGAGGATGACCACATCAGATCATAATATGGAAGATGACTGCCTCATTATATAACTGTAAAATTACACCACCCTGTAAATGCAAAACGACTGAGAATCATGGCCCAGCTAAGCTGTGACCTAACCTTAATCATGACAGCCGTGTGACTCCCACCTTGCAACTCAGTGTTCATTACTGCCACATAGACCTCGTTAATGTGCAAAATAGTCAGATAGTAGAGTTTGTAAATATGAAACATTGGATAATGAGGTGATCGGTAAGTGAGGGATAGGTGGACAGAGATATTTATGAGGCCCAAAGGAGTAACTGCTACGATATTTAAAGAAGCAATTGTTCTTTGAAATGATGTTAACTTTTAATAAACTCTGTTTAAACATTTTCAGCATTGATCTTGATGGAAATTTGACAGTGGACTGGTATGAATGGAGGAACTACTTTTTATTTAACCCTGCCACAGATATTGATGACATTATTCGTTTCTGGAAGCGTTCTACTGTAAGATTACTTTGTATTTTATTCTGTTTTTATTTAGAGCTAAATGCCATGGCTGTTAAAATTACGCAATTCTTGTATCAGCCCCCATGGCTAAAATTTCACAAATGTGGTGCACCCATGTAGTTCTTTCAGGATAAACCCCCAAACTCGCTCCATGGTTTCACAGTGACCCTATACAACAGAGTAGAACTGCCCCTGTGGGTTTCTGTGACTATAAATCTTTATGGGAGTAGAAAGCTGTCTTTCTCTTATGGAGCAGCTGGTGGGTTTGAACTGCTAACCTTGTAGTTAGCAGCCCAGCCTATAACCACTACACCACCAGGGTTTCCAAAGTAAATATTTACAGAAGCAGACAGCTACGGCTGGCTATCAGGGAATAAGTTGGTAGTGGGTGATAGCCTGACTTGCTAATAGACAGGGTGGTGAGGGCGGGGTGGGGGCACATGACATATGAGTGGGGTGTGGGGCACTAGGTTTGTAACAGGGCACAAGAGAGACAGATTCCTGCCCTCATGGGAAGCAAGCAATAAACAGAAATTAACTGACCAGCTAAGATTGTGCTAAGGGTTAGAAAAGAAGCCAAGACATCTTTTGAAATAGAGAAAAACAAATACAAAGGTTCTAAGGTGGAAGGTGCTGGAAAGGGTATGGTCAGTGAATGAACACATAAAGGTGGAGAAACAAAGCGGCAGAGGTGATTTGTCCACCATGATTGGCTGATAATGAAAACTATATTCCCTGAACCAGAGTTTTGCACACTTTCCACGGAATGACATTGATGATTTAGCAAAGCTGGATAGTCTTGGGGTGAGGGTGGGGAAGGATATGATTACTGAAAAGTAACTGGAATACAAAACTTGTTAGATTTCAGATAGTTCAGATTTTTAAAATGATATCGCATTAGAATGGATAATGTGGGAGAAAAATGTGTAACCAAATTCAAAAATCACAAAGAAACCCAAGATCCAGTAGAGACTGGTGGAATCTCACGACTATGACTCTTAGTTCCCTCCATGACTGGAACTGTGGCCCAGGTTTTTGTGCAACAATAGACTTGTTTATAGGAGAACAATAACTAAGAAGGTGTGCTAGGATGGCTTGACTAGAGAAACATATCCAGAGATACGTATATATGTATAAGAAAGAGCTTTATATCACAAAGTCATTATATATCAAGAAAACATCCCATCCCAGTCCAACGTAAGTCCACATGTCCATAAGTCTCTCCTTAGAGTCATGAAGCCACATGGAATGATGCAGAATGCAGGAACAGGTGGGTGAAAAGTCTTGTGGATCCAATGCAGTGGAAGCAGCACAGGGCTCTGGCAGGTCTCTGCGTGGCTTCTCCACAGGAAGGTGAAGGCAGAGAGAGAGGAAGTTCCCAGGATCCTCTTTATGAGAAGGCCATGCATACAAGGTAGCACCATCAGGCTGTGGCCTGATTGACAGGCTAGACTCTACCCATATCTTCTTAGGGGTGCCATGTTTGTACAAAAAATAACTATCACAGAAGATATGCACTTCTCAGAATAATCAACCATTTGAGATCAAAGGGGCAGCATTTAGTCCAGGGTAAAGTTCAGAAGGGTTAGGAAAGAAGGA